CAGGGGCCGCTTGACGAGGACGGTATACGGCTCCATTCCTCCTTCATCCGCGTAGCGCTTAGCTCCTTGCTCGCCATCGACCTGTGGCTATCCAAGCAGCTGGGCGTGTGCGCCTGTGAGGACTCGTCCTGGGGAAGTGTGCGCCCCTTAATGAAACTGATAGAGGTATCGGGACATGGCATCCCGTGGCTGGCCGGTACTGCCTACTGCCTGTACAAGAGTGACAGTGCTGCAGGACAAGAAGTCATGCTCAACCTTTTCATGGGTAAAACGACATCTCTGCTATTAGTGTGTCTCCATGTGTTGTCACTGCGGCTCTGCCGCCATTAGGGACCTCATCCATCATCATCATCATCATCATAGAAAGAGCTTTCTCACTACTGCAGACCGGTTTCTGTGCATCACTAAACTGGGCTGAGATACAAACTCTGTCCCATGTCCTCATTTGTATTTGACCCTATCTCCTTGGAACATTCATGTTTATTTTCGCACCTGTAATGCAATCTTTTGTTTGTCCCAGCCTTTCTCAATCTGTTTGCAGTTTCACCTCTCAGCTATAACCCACATTTTGTCTCCACAGTTCCTATAACATGTCTTTTGCTGATTGTGTCAGTCAGCATAAACATGAGCTTAGCAAAAAAAGTACATGGTTCTGATTCAGTGTGACTCACCATGATCTGTAGGCTTGTCACACATTTGTGTGTCTCTCTACTCTTAATGTGTTTGACATTGACACAGTATTTGAGATCGGTCACATTACCGTATTTGCCCACATATGTTTTTGGAGGTCCACAATGTCACTCTTCACTGTGTATTATTAGCTCTTGGTTTTGCCTGCTTTTCTTTTTTTTCTGGTTTGTTTTTCCTTTTGTGTGTCAACTTTCATTTTCTGCCTCTCTTTTGTAGTTTTTCAGATATTTATTGACATTTGGAGTGTGTGGCAGTAGTAACTGATACTGAAACAGTTAGTTGAATACCCAAAGAGTTGTTTGGCAGAATTTGCTAACAATTCTGCAAATTAATTTTCAAGTCAGTGTATCATCCTTAATCCAAAATATTTGCCAGAAACTCAGACACTAACAAAGCAAATGTGGTGACTGTGTTATCAAATCCTGGCTGTGTTGCATATGTAATCTTGTACTCTACCTCAGTTGCTTTTTTAAATTTTATTTTAATAACTCTTAAGAGGTTGGATGAAGCAAAGGCTGCAATGTAAGAGTTACTGGGTGATAGGATTAGCAATGTAGAATAGGATTTTACTTCAGGAGACCTCACATCACTGTTTTTAGTAAGTACTCTGCTGTAGTAAGGGAGCCCACTGCTAGGGTTCACTGTAACTTAGGGGTCATTTAGTACAGTAAGTGACAGCCTCTGGCCTTTTGCATTAGGAGTTTCTATCTGAACTATAACAGATGTCTTAGATGGAATTAGATCATAGGTTAACTTGCATCTTTTCTGCAGCAGTAGAAGTAAATGAAGCCTTGGAAACAAATACAATTCCTACAGGTGTCCCAACGTTTGATTTCTTGGAACAATAAATTCTATCTGTATTGAGGCAGTGGTGGAAAAGATTGTTCCTACACCCTCTAAAGCATTATTTACAAAAAGGAAATGACAGAAAACCTCTTCTAAGAATCATTCTATAACAGGATCATGAGCCTAAAAACACCTTGAGGTTGTGTAGAAGAAAGGAACCAGAGGTTAGGCTTCAGATGATGGAACAGCAACACAGTGTCCAGACTTTCCAGCTGAAGAGTGAAAGCAAAGCAGCCTACAAGTGCAACACATTTGTAGGAGCTTCTGTAACAGTGCTGTCTGTCCCAGCAATATTTGATTTCAGTTTTGGAGAGAACAACACAGCTGTGTTTGTCTGTTGAATTACATTAATAACAACTGGAAAAATAGTGGTGATTTCTGTCTCTTGACTGGCATTGTACCAGTTTCTAGAGTCTTGACTTAATATCTTGAAGTAATAGTGATAATTTTGCAATGTTTGATAATACCTATAATTATTGCTGTTGTTTTAAGGATAATTTTTCACTTTCATTACACTGACTTGTGTATGCTCCGCTAGGTATGTTAAGAAGATAGGTTGCAGTACATACTGTGTAGAAGCAGTATTCTATGTGATGTGGATTTGGGATGTGCCACTGGTGTCTGCTACAGTGTGGACACAATCACCAGATGGCGCCAAACAGTGACTTTTCAAATTCTTTATGTACTCAGTTGGCACTTTATTAGGTACCCCTAGCTAAAACTAATTTAGCCTAATCCAACATTCCTTCAGTAACTCCTTGTTCATGAAGGTGACAATGTTCAGGTTTTGTTGAAACAGTTTTAGAGTGGTATTGACTGAACTGTATAATCAGTTTGGACGTTGCAGTTTGCCCAACTGTTGAACTGTACTGCATTATACAGAGAGAAGTTTCTGGTATTTAACCTAGTGTCATAGATATAAATGTGTTGGGCAGAATGATAGAAACACTTGTTCTGATTAAAATCACACTCTGCATTTATAAGAATGCTGATTGTGTATATAAATACCACACAAAGCATGAGGCAGTGACATCACACATAGGACACTAACACATAGAGCTGTCAAGTGGGCACCTTCCTTTACTATTTAAGGCCCGTTTCCAATTTATTTATATAATCCGAGTAGAGGGCATCTTTGGTTTTACAGTTGAGATGTAAATCTGGAACCACTGCTATTACTGCACACTGTCAGTGTACTTCATTTTCTTAAAGTGCTTCATACTCGTATGCCAGCGCCATATGTGATCATACTGCTGTTTCTTCATACATTATTTCCCTCTTCATGTCCTTCATCCCCTGCAGGCCTGCTGTTTGACCTGGTCCTTGTTACCATCGTTAAGGCAGTGGTGCGTCGCCGTCGGCCAGCACATAACCGTATGGACATGTTTGCCACCTTTTCAGTGGACCGCTACTCCTTCCCTTCTGGCCACGCCACCCGTGCTGCCATGTGTGGGCGGTTTCTGCTGGCTCACCTCGTGCTGGCCGCCCCACTGAGGGTCCTCATCCTGCTGTGGGTCGGCCTGGTGGGGCTGAGCAGAGTGCTGCTGGGCAGGCACAACGTGACTGATGTGGTGTTTGGGTTCTGGATGGGGTATTGCCAGTACAACGTGGTGGAGATGCTGTGGCTCTCACCTCAAACCCTGCACGGGTTGCTGGGACAGTTGGCTTAACATTAAGGACTCGAGGAAGAGGAGATGAACCTGATCTGTTCTATGCATGCATGAAATGCAGCTACTTCCTGAGTGGTTAAGGTGATTGGGTGAGTTGGCACGACACTGCTGTAAAGTGCATAGAACAAATCAGGTAGGCAGGAAGGACTGGGTAGTGACAGGACACGC